TGGTAGAGATCAACAGGACAGTAGTTTGTTCTGTGAGTTCACATCAGAAAGCAGAATGCATGAAAAGCTCAATAAATGCACAGGAGTTACTGCAGGGGTGGATAAAACTAAGGCTGCACTCAACAATTACTTTTTTGATTAATCATTTGTTCTATAAATTGCCCGAAAACTACTTCAGAACTACTACCACCTACTCATACTTGAATCGATGGAACCAGGGACTTTCTGTCGATCACATAATCAATAATCGACTAATTTTTTCAGCTCTAGATAAAAACTTTATATAATTTATGTTAGTAGGGTTGCAGCTAAGAATTATCTTCATTTAATTTCTTTGATTAATCTTAATTAATGGATCTTTACACCATGCCACTACCTCCTGCTGTGACCTGTGCAGTGTTCCTTATCAGTCAGCACCCATCTGTATATAAAAAGCCATAGTGTACATATAACTCTTATTCTTCTATTCTCTCTTGTCTGTTGTACTGTAGCGAGCGAATTTCTGCAGTATGGGATCAATCTTATCTTATCTTATTAATGGTTTGATCAATAAAATATCAGAAACCACCTTACTGTCATATTCAAATGTCTTGTTCTGTCCAACCAAAAGTGTGAAAATATTTAGTTTAATATCATATAAGACTTACAAACTGCAGTAGACTGTGTATATTATTTATACAAATGTTAATGTGGTTGTATTTCTCCTTTTCCAGATATCTACTGTTGTGGTCTGCTGAGCACCAGGAAGAGCGACTGTACAGGCTTACCACAAAACATGCTGGTCTGCGGCTCCACGCCGGCGCAGCGCGGCCAGTCACGAGTAATGATGAAAGGCAGCATGTCACTGATCAGCTGGTACAACAAGGGACACTTCAGGTTCCTCACCAATGCCTATTCCCCAACAAAACAAGGTAAACGGTGCTGAGATGCACCCAGAGCTAAAACTCACCACTAATGTGCCGTAATATTTGGAACTATTTTTGGTTGCCATTAACCTGACAGTTTTTCAGTGAAAATAAGATTAGCAGTACTGTCTTTTGTGGATGCAAGTTACCATCATTAAGCATTTGTGTCAGGCAAAATCAATGAGAGCTCGTAATCCATGATAATCCATTTCCAGGAGGCGACAGGAACATGATATACCCCTCCTCATACAACGTAATCCACTCTCGATTAAACCGTTTTGTTAGGTTTTAAACCGAGTTGAAGGGCAGCAGTGTGTTTGAGCTCTTTGAATGAAGAGAGTGGAAGCAAAGCCCCAGATCAGTTAAACTGTTATTATCCAATATTGATTTTCTTTTCCCTCTGTGTGTACATGGGTATGTTTGTGTGCTCTTTTTCACTCTGTACAAAAAGGAGAATTAAATTAGCTGCCAACAATAAAATAAATAAAATAAAACAATAGCAAGGTTAGTTACTTTTGTCTGGTAATATTTTATAATTTACTCAATAGTAACTGAAAAAAGGCCTCCATGATGATAACTGATAAATATGATTAATTATGTGTATAAATAACGGGGTACAACAGGGACTCCTACATTATTATGGAGATTAATTATTTCCTCACATAATCACCATATCTCCTCCATTAACCATTGCATTAGTGTTAATATAATCTGTGATTAACACTCTTACAAAATTCAAGTCTGAAAACAAGCTCTTTAGCCTGATCAGATCCATACAGACTAATCAGCAAGTGTCTATATGATACCAGGAGTCTGGCCATTGTCACAAGTTGTAGATATAAAATGAAGCATAATTCTGTAAATGCCAGATAGTCATGGAGAAATTAAAGGGTGCTTAAAATCTGAAGCAAAAACCAATGACTGTCCAGAAAGTGAAGCATTCAACATGTTTGATAATTGATCATGTCTGAATTTCCATTTACATGTACCAGTTTTATGGACCCTGATATTGTGCATGTTGGTTGACTGTCATGGCTTACTGGGACATAAATGGAACAGAGCCATTGTTAGTGTTAGTAGTTACAACTCCTGCTGTGACTGAATGTCTGCTGTAAGAAAGAGACCAGCTATAAACCAAAATAGTAACAAGTTGCACCTGGGCAGCCTCCCTCACGTAAAGGAGCGCTTCTTTTCCTTTCCCTTGTCTCCCTTGTTGTTGGCCAGGTGACCACAGAGTCCCTTCAGTGGGATCTCGTTTCTCTCCTGTATGTCTCTCACTCTTAGTTTGTGGTGTGTGTGTCTGTGGCAGGTATGATCATTAAGAGGAAAAGTGGGGAGATCCCATGTCCATTGGCTGTTGAGGCCTTTGCGGCACACCTCAGCTACATCTGCAAATACGACGACAAGTACAGCAAGTACGTACAACATTTTACAATTTCTTGCAGTGGTTCATGTTTTGGACATAACATGACATATTCTGCCCTTAAAGTGAGGCTGTGTAACGTTTGCAATAAGAAATGCGCACTCTTTCTTCATCCATAAACAATGAAATACACCCTTACTTTAGGCCACTAAATCCTACATATTGGTCCTTTAATGTTAGCAAATTGCTCAGATGCTAACTAGTCAGTTGCTGACTTAATAACTCTTCTAACTTGTTTCCTGTTTGTGAACCCATTACAGCCTAATGCAACTAACTCTTGACAGTTTGAGAAAGGAAGTGAAGTTATATGTTATTATCCCAGATGTTCAGATAACGTTACACAGTCCCACTTTAAAGCCTATTATTTATGGTGGAGTGTTAACTTTTCATTCATTAGAAGGTTTTTGTAGAGGAACCCTGGAGTAAGTAGCTATTTTTCTCCCACAGGTACTTTATCTTCCATAAGCCCAACAAGACCTGGCAGCAGGTGTTCTGGTTGAGCATCAGCATCGCCATCAATAATGCGTACATCCTCTACAAGATGTCTGACGCCTACACAGTTAAACGCTACAGCCGAGCGCAGTTTGGAGAAAGACTGGTCAGAGAGCTGCTGGATTTAGATGACTGCTCCCCCACACAGTGAGGAGGAGGAGGAGGACAGCAGGAGTGCACAACAAAAACACAAACACACTCACACACACACACACAATACCCCACATACATTTTCATTACGGTTGTACAGACTGCAGTCTGTGTCTATGTGATGATACTGAAGCTGTGCCAAGCCTATGTCTCTCTTCCTCTAGCTGTTTTCTGTGGTACTGTAAATATTCATTAACACACGACTGCACACTACACAGTAGAGAATCATGAGCCATGGGACAGTTCACGTGCATCAACTGTAACTTTCAATCACACAGATTTACTAAGGATTTGTCAGCAGGAGCTATTTCATAAGCAGAGATAAAGGCGGTACTAATGAAACTGGGACGAATTCACCTTTAAATGATGTCAGCTTCAAGTTTTAACTCTTAACAAGGAGTCACATTATTGATATGAGCCTGAATCTCCCGTGTTAGTGTTCAAACATTGTACTCGTCAGGCTAAAAGGCTACACAAGCTCGATATTTACACTCTGCAAAAAACACCTCTGACCCTGTAACAAAGCTTAGTAAACCAGGACTATGGTGCGTTCACACGCTGCATGCATAAAAGAATCTGAATTGTGACGTTCTCTTGTTCAGTGTGAAAATGATTTCTGCTCCAGGTGGGTTTTGAAACTTTTTTTTTTGTGTGTGTGTGTGTATGTATTTAGCAAGTGGAACTGCCATGTGTGTGCGCGACGTTGAGCTTGAGGATGTAAATGTACGGCTATTGTGACCCAGATGCGTCGTGTTGCTGCATACTGTACTCGCTAGAGGAACGTTGCCAGGTGACATAAAGCCACACCCAGCAGTGTGCTACCAATTCACAGCCTCCCACTCCAAATAATCCCAAAAAACATTAACAAATAGACTTTTTTTTTGATGTCTTAAGTCCCCTCCAAACTTTAAATATTGGTTCCAAACGGTTAATATTCATGACTAACACTTGATTGGTGCACAAAAACATGTCACCCCTCCCACTTTAAACCAGTGAGAAGAGCACAGACAAAAGCCTTTCTCGTGTGAAACTGTATCTGTTCCAACTGTTCCAACTTTGGCTGTTGTGTTGGGCAGATGTTGTGCTCATGTAGGAGTACATTGCTCATAGTAAGGATTGAGAAAATGAGTTTTCGGGGTCAATTAACCCACTACTAACAACAAATACCATCAAATCTACAGCCTACTTTTGTACCAACAACACTTTTAATGGCAGTTAAACTCATCTGAATTTCTCTTTTTTATTACTCATGTAGTTAACTGTACTTTGGCTTTGCAGTGCAGAACACGTTCAAAATGTCCTTGATTTAATGTTCACTAAGCCAGTGTTGCCAAGCAACAAGTACAATCTTGGCCAGTGGGCAGGGGTTTAGATAATATTGCTTGGCAAGATTTAAGTCCAGGAAGTAAAAACTGACTTACTGGTGGCTTATAATATATCCCAGAAAACCAAATGTTGCAATAAATCTTAATGTAGATAAAAGGCTTTGGGGGCTGTGACTTGCTTTCTCAGTTTGGTGCACAAATCTCATCACGAGAACTCCACAAGTCAGCCAACATTAATTAGCTGAGAAATTATTTGATCAAATAAAAAGTGACACATGATTTTATAACTTGATAGTTACTATTTCTGAGAACATTTGCAAGTAAGAATACCTGGGATACACTGCTTATTATACATGATCATCTGAAACGAATGGATACAATTTTCCTAATGTGAATGTTGCTTTCTTACAGTGCCACATTTCTTGCCAAGTAACTGATTTCGACCTGCCGTCTCGTTTAGAAGTGTGAGTGGAGAGGCGAGCGTTTATTTAATTAAAATACACTTACTGTCTCCAGACCGTATACCACACTGCTGTCTGTAGCTTCAATGAGGACTCTGCAGTCCTCCTTGCTTTGCCTTGTCATGCAGTCAACATGTTATTGTCACGCTGGAATCATGTTACCAAGATTTTAAGTGAAAGGTTTTGATGTGTGCTTGCTCAATCAGCATGGTTTGATGTGTCAATACATATTACAGTAAGAAGACAGTCTTTGCACCGGTAGAGCAGAGTTGACGAGTGATTCGCTGGCAGGACTCATGCACTTTACCCCATCATAGTCTTGCACTTTGAGGAGAGTTGTAAAGTAAGAAACATGTTTATTAGATTAGATCATTTTAGTTTTCACCCCAAGGATAGTAAACACCACTCTCAGAAAAATATGGAATATGGAAAAATATGAAGTTCTGTAAATATACGTATGATAAATGAAATGGACTATATAAAAAAAACGGCAATGAATTAAGACTGAAAATCAATGATAACCAAAACAAAAAAGATTTTCACTGTAGATTTAGAGTACAAGGTACAGTATGTATGTGTATATTTTGTTTACAAATTAATGTGAGTGTATGTCCATAATCACTCTGTCACTGAGACTCAAGATTGTGATTTTTTTAACTTTTTCACTAATCCAAAGCATTGTTGTTGTCATTGTTGACCCTGTGTGTGTGAACCACTGAATATTGTCGTTACGTGTGTCTAAGCACTGTTCACCTTGAAGTAACAATGGTAAGTTTAGGGTTAGCATTAGCATTGATTGGGATGAAGTCCAGCTGTAGCCGTTTTTGAAACCCATCCTGCCTATGTCCTATATTGGTGATTAAGGAAAAAATCCATGCGACTAAAAACTCTTACAAAAGAGTAACTTAATACCCTCTCTGGTTGAAATTGTACTAAGACACCCTGGTGTACACTTCTACATCACTGCAGCAAGGTTAACCCTCTGAAGGTCAGAAAATACAAAGTTTTAAGCTGGTGTTAGGTTGATATTTACAGCAAAACGTCTTGATATGGTACCCTGCTATTCTTGTTTAATGGTGTATTTTTTCTTATCCCATTAACTGAATAATTGTTAACTTCAGTGATATTTGATATATAAATCTTCCTAAAATATCAGTGATAATTTAGAAAAGAATTTGTGACAGTCCATGAATAAAAAAGCAAACAAACCAGTCTCCGATTTACATCATACAGGGAGAAAAATCCATCATATAAAGGGCAGAGAAACCAATTTCCTTACCGAGACTGGCCTCAAAAGGCCTTAACGCATGTGTGTGTGTACCCGCAAGGCATCTTGTAGTCTGAGTAAGGGGCATGGAAACAATCATCACTAACCAAAGCAGAAATAGACGAGGCAGGTTGAGGGAGAGTGAATACACCAGAAAAAGAAAATCCCTAAAAAATTGACTGCATCACACAATGGCCAAGGACATATAACTGTCAATAGTATCTCAATATGAATTGTTCCTCTACAGCGTGTCACACATGTATAGAAATGAGCCTCTGTGATGGTGCATTTATAAATGGGCATTTAATCTGCAGCTGATTGTGGACTGAAGCAGGTGTTACACACACACACACCTTTAGATGGCACATGCCAAGGATGTGTGTGTGGCATCCACAGTGGATTTTCTGTAGTGCTTGCATCGCTCAGCTCAGACCACAAATGAGAAGAAATTATGCACCGGGGACTCTGCAAGGCCACGGTTACTTGGCAACAAATTATATATGAGCGAGTGAGAGAGAGGAAAAGGGGGTAGTATTTGAAGTTTTCCTGCCCATATGGTAATATTGTTATCACCCCAACTGCAGACAGAGCTTCATGTCGTCTCTCTTTTTATCATCTATCAAAAGGGAAGGGCAGAAGATCCTTTTGTTCATTTAGTTCAGAGGAGGGTTGCTTTTTAGCCCATATAGATCAAAAACATGGTTTCATTTTAAATTCTCAGGTAGATCTCTGAAGTGATTTTCAAGGCAAAATAATCTCTTACAGTTATTCTGTCCAGTCGGCTCTATTGATCAGTCATGAATCAGATTTAGTGCCTTGTCCAGCTGATTTCTTCCTCTCATTGCAGTGGTTTAGTGTTGTTGATATAATGTATTGGAGTTGATGTGAATGACTAGAAAAGACTAGGTTTTACTTTCTAACAAAATCAATATGGTAAAATCCTGTCCTGCATGGTGTGATTAATAGACTAGAAATAAAACTATCACTTCCGCAGTAGAGTTGTAGATGCTGAAAATGTTTTGTGCAGCTCTATGCCCTTGTCTTATTGCTGTCATGACTCACCTAAAGTAATATTTCACATTTTCACACAAGTGACACCACTGGAGTCAGCACTACATTCTTTAATATGAGTTTTTAACACATCTCAAAAACATTAATAGGTCCAAGTAAAACTTCTTGTACATCAAGTAATTTTACCTGTTCATAAAAATGATGAGAGCAGATCCCAGTGATTGATGTTAGTTTTGCTTTGTTTACATGGGTAAACTACTATGTAGGAACCTGTTTTGTGTGTTAGAGGAAAGAGGCATGGGTGAGCCTCACTAAAGGCAGAAAGCTTAACATCCCATCGCCAAATATAGCCTTAAAAAACAAATTGTAACCACCAATATTAAAACAGAAAATATCCGCCATGAGAGATGTGTCACTTTAATGGGTCTTACTGCGACAGTGTGGACTTTTTTCTCTCCATTTTCTACTTTTTACAAATAGCAGAGATGTCTGATGTATTTCATGTGCAAATGAGAGTAAACAGAGGCAGATGGGAAGGAGCAAGATACTGTGCAACTGCTAAGACAGAAATAGCCTTCATCCAATTTTGTCGGACAAATGATGATCCCTAAATCGCTTGTCAAAAAACTTGTTGCAAAAAGATGCCATGAAATAAATCATCCTCACTGTCAGTTGTTTAGTGGTAATGAAACACAGTGGTGTATAAGATGATGTCCATGTATGTGGTGTGCTGTATGTGCAAGTGTGCCATCTCTGTACAGTGCTTCACAGATGTCTGTGTTTATATCCGGTGAGCGAGACAGTTGTCATAAGAGTGAGTAAAGATATTTAAGAGACTAGCCATGGATGTGATGAAGAATAAAAATGGCTGACCTCAGGGCTTCATAACTAACTGCTGTATAATATATTCACTTACTGAAATAATATACATACACTAAATGGACTCCTATAACCGTATCAGGTGCTATCAAACCACTGTACAAGTAATAGTAGAATTAGATTTGTTGTTGATGTTGAGAGCTCAGCAACCAAATAGTGAACACCAGGATCATATAATGCAGAGGTTGTACCACTAAAAACACCAGATGTTCACGGTTTTCTGGATAAATGTCAGAAATATTAATGTTACCAGGCACCAAATGCAAACTTGTGGTAGTGGTAGAACGATTTCATTTATGAATCTCGTAATGGTGGCTGCAGGATGTCGAGTACTGTGGGCTAAAGTGTTATCTGGTTTCACAGACGGACCAGAAGGATGTGCAAGTGTATGTGCATGTAATGTTAACATTGGGTGGAAAAATGTGTGTAAAATAACTGGTGTATGCTGGACCAAATAACTTTCTAAAATGTGTGTGGTGATGAGTTGTACAAGGTTGTCATGTAAATGTGTCTTCATTAAAACTATCCACATGTGGGTGCCCCATCGAAGATTTGGAGAAGCTTATTACTCTAGCAAATGATTGGAAATCATGAGGAAGGCACAGATTCAGGGTCAAATGTGCATCATGGTCATCATGATTTGAGTGCAAAGTTTGTCTTTACCTCCCCTTGGAGTTAGAATAAGTGTCTTTGCAATACATAATCTCTCCACATTAGCTTTCAATTCAGCAGATACACTTGCAGCTAAAATACAAGTTTTGTGGAACATTTAAGTATTCATTATTAAACTTGTCAGAGTAGAGTGGTAACCTAGAATCAACTGCACTCCTGTTTTTGTAATTAGGGACTGCACCAAAATCATTGGGGTGTGAAAGAGGGCTTTATGTTTTTCTAAAAAGCAAGAACCTCACCAGAGTTGACTTGCTGTAAAAACTACAACACCATGCTCCTGAAAATCTTAAACTAATACAACAGTATTGACATATTTTCACACCTGCATACCTTTGATCCATTGATCCAACTATATGTATGATAAGTCTCACAAGGGAAGGCTGAAATATGATATAAAACCCTCCATACTACCCTTCCTCCTTTCTGACCCGCTGCCCCTTATTGGACATTTAACTTGTACACACAACGCAAAACTACTGTGTGTGTGTGTGTGTAGGCAAAAAGTTGCCCAAACCAAGCAATCACAGTAACAGTTTAAATGTTGGTCTGTTTGTATCATTATGTGCTGGAGGTCTCTGTACTGTAAAGATTGTTTGTTGTTTAACCTGCAAAGCAGTTTTACAACACTTAAGGAGTCAAACCTGTAAGTTAACTTACAAGGCCAACCTGCTACACTGAGTATTTGTTGCTATGGTCTTGTTTGACCTGTAACCTCAATTATAAAGGACTAACTCTGCTGTGTATGGCTCCCTCTGTCACTTGTGCACGAACTCCAGGTCCTACTCTCTCTGCCAAAGACTGGTGTTGTTGTGAAGTGTGTGTCCAAAAATTAAGAAAAAGTTATGTGTAAATCACTACTTAACGCTCTGTAGATTCGCCACCATTTTGCACACATGGTATCTAATAAATGTTCTTGGTTTGGTTGCCCCTGCCCTGTTCAGAGATGAATTGTGATTATGGAAATGTGTTGGACTTGCTTTGCATGGAGAAACAGCTTGGGAAAACCACATGGGTGCAAACATGGGTGTATATATCGAATTACATACAGTACACAGAGAGACTTATCTAAATAATGACATTTTAAAAAATCACAGATTGGCCTCACACATACCACCAATGGTTTGTTTTTTATGTTATATAGCACAAGTTTTCACTGAAATCCTTAATTTAAATTGTATGACAAGTCAATAGAATTGTGCTGGAAATGAGATAAGACAAAAAAATAATTAAAAAAATGTCATAATCCAGTTCAGCCTTGGTAATCAGTCATGCGAGAAATTAAATATTGCTGTTTTCCTACAAAAAAAAAAAAGGACTCTGAAAAGTTCAAATTCACCATGTGCTTTTAGAAAGGTTTTGGTATAATTGAACAAGCCGGTATTTTAAAAAATAAATCCAGCATTCACTATCAGCACTCAGGCTTTTTTGAGCAGACTCATGCATTTCCCCCTTCCTGCTTTGCCCTGCAGAGAAGGTGACAAAATCTGACATGAATTTGTGCACAAAATGCTCAGAGGAGGTTACATAGTGGTATAAGCTCTCAAACCCACCACTGCAAAATTTCAGGTCAAGTATTGATTGGACTGACAAGACGAGTGAAGAGGCGAAGTGACATGACAAAAAGACCACCATCCCTACATAAGACCATTTGTAGACAGCAAGGGAGAAGATAGCAATAGACTATTGCTAGACAGTTTTTCTACTTTTCCAAAACATGTTAAATGAAAAGTATAAAAAAATAGAAAAGAAAGAAACATAGTTTAATAAAACACAAATAAGATTTACATAAAGTGCAATTTGACCAAAAAAAAAGCACAGAATAAAAATTATTGAAATAAATGCAGTTCTGAAATAATGTGATTTAACAAAGATTAAGAGCCAAGCCTAGTCCTGGTTTTTAGTCATGATCTAGAAATTATTAACAGAGACCTAGGAGAGGATCAGGTCAGGCTGGAATGTGGTTAGCAGGTCAGAAACATAATCAGGAGCTGTCATGCCTGACAGTGACAAAGCTTCTAAAA